CCTTGGACAGCAAAGAGATCAAACCAGTCAATCCAAAAGGAAATCAACACTAAATATTCACTGGAGGGACTGATGCTGAAGTTGAAGCTCCAGTACTTTGGCCACCTGATGTGAAGAGTTGACTCACTGGAAAAGACCAACGCTGGGAAAGATTGAGGGCAAGAGGAGAAGGGGATGACAGAAGATGAGAGGGTAGGACGGCAGTTTGAGCAAACTCCGGGAGACAGTGAAGGACAGGGAAGCCTGGCATGCTGCAGTCCATGGGGTCACAAAGAGTCAGACAAGCCTGAGTGACTGAACATCAACAATTCGTCAGCCGCTGCGACTGTGTGGTGGAAGCCACAGTCTCTTTTCCAGCTGCCCCAGAACAAGGGCCTTCCAGGGACCTGCCTTGCGCACCTCACACGATTCCCAGGCTACCTCTTTTCCCAGTCCCTTGCCCAGCTCTCTGCTGGAATTTCAGAAACATATGGCTGTGTGTGTGGCCTGTGCATTCATGAAGGGTGCACAGCCCCGAAAAGGTGCTCTGTCTTAGTTGGTGAGGAAGACAGGGAAGGCTCATCCCGAGAGAACTGAAAACCTGGTCCTTGAAATACAGCACCGATCCACTCATAGAAAGAATGACAAGTTTCAGGCACAAGATGGGAAAAACTAAAATCTGGGGGGCTTCCCAGGAGGTGCTAGTGGTAAAGAACCTGCTGCCAATGCAGGAGACATAGAGATGCGAGTTGGATCCCTAGATAGGGAGGATCCTCTGGAGGAGGGCATGGCGACCCGCTCCAGTATTCTTGCCTGGAGAATCCCATGGACAGAGGAGCCTAGCGGGCTACAGTCCATGGGGTCGCAGAGTCGGACATGAATGAAGAGACTTACACTGCAAACTGTGGAATTCTGAGTGGCTCCTAAACAGAATAAATTATATTCCTGTGCCCTCTGCTGGTAAAGAGCGGCACTAGCCTTCCTGGGGCCTGCAGAAAGGAGGCAGACAAAGAGGGTGACTCACAGGCATCCTTCTGTCCCTAGAGTCTCATCAGATCGGAAATCCGCTGTTACTCACGAGGGGGGAGGCGGCCATCAGCAGGATGTCCAGACGGAATGGAAATGTGCCCATCCGTCTCAGGCACCAGAGGCTTCAAACTGCCAGTGGGCAGAGGACCATGGATGCCACTGCCTCACCCGGGCCTGAAGACTGCCAATGGACAGGCTGTGCCCCCTCCAGCCACCCGTGTGCCTCTCGGCCACTCCAGGCTCTGAGCAAAAGATGTTATTTCATTGCCAAGAGGAATCTTAGAGAGGGGGCGGGGTCCTAAAGTAGAAATACCCACCTACTTGCTCATAGATCTGGGTTTTCTATAGATACACCTCTCAGACTGGGTACACCCCTTCCCAGGGGTGTGAGTAAAAGAATCCATCTGCCACAGCAGGAGCCGCGGGAGACTTGGGTTCGATCCCTGGGTCAGGAAGATCCCCTGGAGGAGGGCATGGCAACCTACTCCAGCATCCTTGCCTGGAGAATCCCACGGACAGAGGAGCCTGGCAGGTTACAGTCCATAGGGTCACAAACAGTTGGACGTGATTGAAGCGACTTAGTATACACACCCTTCCCCTCTCTAGGAATCAATTTCCTTGTCTATAAAATGGAAGAGTTGGAAGAGTGATGTCTGAGGTTCTTTCTGGCTCAGGGATGCTGGTATTCCACAAGCCTGGATCCAAGGGGCCCTGCAGATACGCCGAAGGCAAAACTGCCTGCTGAATACTTGCCTTCTCGCCCCAGGCAGCCTTCCCCATGCCCTGGCAGCTTCCCTCTTCCTCCTCTTCCTTCGAGACCCCTGCCCTGTCCTGCCTTTAGTGCAGGGCGGAAGTGGGCTTTTTGTCCATAGAGGCAAGATGGAAGCTGACTCTCACCTGTGTGGTTTCTCTGACCAGGTCACCCCCTCATCCCCTTCGCTAGGAATAGGATCAAAGGGCCAACCCAAAGCTACAAAACTGCAGTGTTCAATCACCTCCTGAACAGACCCAGTGCTCTAAAATAATAAATAAATAAGGCCGCATTTTATTTTTTTCCCCCTCCGTTTGGAAATTTGTAACATCATTAGCTACAAGTAAATATATCAGTGGAATTAATGGAGTGAATCACAAAGTGACTTGATTGGATTTAAAACCACATAATGTCTTTGGGGTGAATTAGTAAATTTAGCACTGTCGAGAGATGATGAATGGAGAACCGGGGGACTGAGAGTTCTTATTGATCCTGGGAATAGATCAGGATGAGAAGAAGGGGAATGGCTTCCCGCGCTGTTTTCAGAGAGAAAGGAAACGTGGCTTCTCAGCATGGGAACACAGCGCCCTTTTGCAGGCGTCTGGTTGAGTTGTGACCACATATGCTGGGTTCCCAGGTGGCGCTAGTGGTAAAGAATCTGACTGCCAGCGCGAGAGCCGCAGGAGACATAGGGGGTTTGATCCCAGGATTGGGAAGATCCCCTGGAGAGGGAAATGGCAACCTGCCCTAGTATTCTTGCCTAGAGAATCCCATGGACAGAGGAGCCGGGCGGGCTCTAGTCCACAGGATCACAGAGAATCAGACACGGCTGGAGTGACTAAGCAACAGTTTGGTGGGCAGTGCTTACAGGGCCTCCAATGATCCCCACCTCTGGAATTCATGTCCTTATGGAAGGATTCCTTCTCCCCAGTGTAGACAGAAACAAGTGGCTTGCTTCTAACACACAAAACGCAGCAGAAGCAGTGAGGTGTCACTCCCGAGGCTAGGTTATCAAAAGACTGCGGCTTTGTCTCCCATGTACTCTCCCTGTCCTGGGCTGTCTGCTCCGCAGGGGCCATGCTGAGGTCAGCATTGCAGAGAGACCCATGGGAGCCAGCCTCAGAGTCGACCTGCCCAGGGCTGCCAACAGCCACTGGGGCTGCTTGGAAGCAGAGCCCCTCCAAGTATGCTTTCACATGATTTGAGACTGGCTAAACTCCTTGACTGCAGCCTCATGAGGGACCCCGAGTTAGAACCAGCCAGATTGAGGGCAGGAGGAGAAGGGGGCAACAGAGGATGAGATGGCTGGATGGCATCACAGACTCAATGGGCATGAGTTTCAGCGAGGTCCAGGAGATGGTGAAGGGCACGGAAGCCTGGCGTGTTGCAGTCCGTGGGCTCACAAAGAGTTGGACTCAACTCAGTGACTGAGCAAAGCTGCTCCTGGGTTCCAGACCCAGAGAAATAAACCGAGATAATAACTATTGCTTAAAGTCACTAAGTTTGGGGTAATCTGCCATAAAGCAACAGATTAATACACCAGGCAGCTTGCTGGGGCCACCGAAATGCGAGTAGGAACAATGCATGTCATTTCTGAGGCAGAGCTGGCTTCCTGCCTTGGCAACTGGGCAGGCAACAGTCAGATAAAACTTCTGTGAGCCTGGGTCTTGGAGGGACTACCAGGGGAAAGTCCCATCCCCTTCTTACCCCAAATACCACTAACCTGCACTGGATATTCAGTACAGCTGAGAAATAGACTTTGGTTGCATAAAATCACCTTGATTTGGGAATTTCCTGTTACTACTGCATAACCTGGGGCTTCCCTGGTGGTTCAGAATCTATCTGCAATGTGGGAGACCTGGGTTTGATCCCTGGGTCGAGAAGATTCCCTTGGAGAAGGAAATAGCAACTCACTCCTGTATTCTTGCCTGGGAAGTCCCATGGACAGAGGAGCCTGGGGGGTTACAGTTCATGCGGTTGCAAAACAGTCAGATACAATTTAGCGACTATGCAACAACCACCACATAGCCTAGTCCATATAGACTAGCATGCTAGTCAGTCCAGGGCCACAGACTGGAAATGGTCAGGAGCCTGACAGCAAATGGGGCTGCATAACAGGAAGTGAGTGGCTGGCAGTTGAACGAAGCTCCATCTGTATACACAGTCGTTCCTCATCACTCACATTGCCATCTGAACTCTACCTCCTGTCAGATCAGTGGCGGCATTAGATTCTCATTGGAGCAAGAACCCTACTGTGAATTGCACATGAAAGGGATGAATGTTTGCTCTCCTTATCAGAATTGTCCTGAAACCATCCATCCCCACCTACTGCTGGTCCATGGAAAAACTGTCTTCCACAAAACCAGTCCCCAGTGCCAAAAGTTTGGCAACTGCTGTACTAAGGCATCAGGGTGCCCAGAGGAGGCTGAAAAACACACTTAATCTTCCCATTAAGAACACAAGACCATAGGTTTGAAGTACAGTATGTTTCCTTTAGGGCTTCCCAGGTGGTGCTAGTGGTAAAGAACCTGCCTGCCAATGAAGGAGATACAAAAGACGCAGGTTCGATCCCTGGGTCAGGAAGATCCCCTGGAGGAGGTCATGGCAACCCACTGCAGTATTCTTACTTGGAGAATCCCACGGACAGAGGAGCCTGGCAGGCTACAGTCCATGGGGTTGCAGAGAGTCGAACACAACTGAAGCAATTTGGCACATAGCACATGATTTCTTTAAAGCCCACCACAACAGTGTCTTACAGAAACAAGTTTCAAAGCCGGTCTCCTTGACCCTATGTGTACACCTGCACTTAGGAGCTCCAGCTTTTAGTTTAAGAAACAGGGTTCTCTTATGGGTTCATGGACTGACATTCAGTGAATATGTGTGTTTGCTGGGTATTTCCGAATTTGTCCCCTCACTTACCTTACAACAGTCCTGAAGGCAGATATAAGTTCTGGTACCCTGAATTTACAGATGAGGAAAATTCAGATTTGAAGAGTGAAATCAACCCCAGGTGGTTATTAAGCCTCTAGGCAGACATGAGCAGAACACAGGCTTGAGTCCAGGCCCTCTGAACCTACACTCACCATCTTCCCTCTAATCTCAAGGGGGTCACCAGCTAGAGAGGTGGTTGCATTAAAGTTGCTTCTTAGTAGGAAGGTTTTAGAACTCAGAGGGCTGGGGCTCCTTTGTGATGGGGAAAGGGCTTGTGGGTAGGGCTTAGAAATTGAGATAAATTCCTTACTTGTGTCAATGAAGACTGCATCCACATAGATTTTGGTACAGAAAGAGCCCAGGATAAATCCACAGGCTGGTCCAAACACCAGCATCGTGAACAGGATTCCTGAAAGAAGAAGATGAAACCAAGATTAGATTAAAAGCAGAAGGCATTCAATGAGCAAAACTGTCAAAGCATGAGAAAACTGTTTTACATTGATCAGATGAGAGGTTTGATTAGACAAATGCTATCAGAGGAATTAGTCTAAATATCCTAGAGGGGAAAGCTACTATTCTAATTTTTGGAAACCCTATTGAAGAACTATCACGCAGGAATTCTATAGTTTCTGTAGGTTGCTCTGAAATACTTCTCGGCCCCTAGTACACTTACTTTTGAGGACTCTTCTCCATGTCACATCAGACCAATAAAATACATCCACATTTATCATGAAAATTTTTTTTTCAGCCATAAACATTTTGGGAAGGATTTTTATCATTTTGCTTTCACATTGATTTGGCTTTATGTAATTCATTTAATATACAGTTGGCAAAGACTTCTCAGCCCTCACTGTGCACACAGGAATTCTTATGAAGTGAGAAAAGCTGAAGCCACAAATTATTCTCCAATGTAATGAAATGTTTATGGGCATTTAATTTAGCAAATAACAAAGCTGACATAATGGCCTGCTTTGAGCACATTTAATTAGACATTTTAATAATTTCAGTTTTGCAGGCCCTCCCCACTCGTATTTTTGGAATTGCTCTCTGTTGTTGCTCTCACAGCCATTCAGGACTCAAGCTCTTTCGTAGGACTTGAGAAGACGGTACCAGGCACGTGCATAAGCACTGGGTTCACCAAAACACTCTTTCTGGTTTTTCTATAACAGCGTGTGGGAAAACCCTAACAAGCTTTCTGGCCCACCCAATATGTATCTAATAGATGCAGTATCTGGAATTTTGCACAGAACTTTTGGTTCATTCTGGCAAAAGCAATGAGCCCAAACCAAAAAGCCGCAGGCTGTTCTCTACTTAACTAAATTTCAACTTGAGCACTGACAGTTCACAAGGCCCTAGGAGTAAAAATAACAGTAAAGAAATGCCTTTTTCTTAGGAAGCTGGTTACCTGTGGGGACAATCAGTACATGGTCAATTCAACCCAAGCAGACAGCTTAGAGGGTGGATGCTAACAGGTCTATGTAGGCACATGAAAAACAGGGTAGGAAATGGATTCAACCGGAGGGAATCTGAGCTCAGTGGAGGGTTTCTGGTCTGCTCACAGAGTAGACTAACTCAGCCTGAAATCTCCAGAGATGGATCTGCTCAAATACTCATCCACTCAATCAATACTTCTTGAGTTCCTTCTTTGCACCAACCAGCCTTCTTAGGGATGGAGACTCAGTGTTGAAACAAGCAATCAAAAATCCAAGCCTTCCTGGAGCTCACTGACTTGGACGGAGAAGAAAACAAAACTTAAGAAAACTAAGGGAATATTACTCAGCCATGAAAAGGAATGGACTGGTGCCTTTTGCAGAGATGTGGGTGGACCTGGAGTCTGTCATACAGAGTGAAGTGAGTCAGAAAGAAAAAAACAAATACCAGATATTAACACATATATGTGGAATCTAAAAAATGCTATGGGCTATCTTATTCACAAAGCAGAAATGGAGACACAGATATAGAGAATAGACAGAACAAACATGTGGATACCAAGGGGGAAGGCGGGGTGGGATGAATTCAGAGACTGGGACTGACACATATGAAACACCACTGATGGAGAAGGAAATGGCAACCCACTCCAGTATTCTTGCCTGGAGAATCCCATGGACAGAGGAGCCTGGGCGTTACAGTCCATGGGGTCACAAAGAGTGGACATGACTGAAGTGACTCAGCACAGCACTGATAGGATGTATAAAATGGGTAACCAATGAGAACCTGCCGTGTAGTACAGAGGACTCTGATCCGGCTCCGTGGTGACCTAAACGGGGAGGAAATCTAAACTGGCGATGTGTGTACATGTGACTGATTCGCTACGCAACATTGTAAAGCAACTATACTCACAGAGAAAAGAAACCATGGACAGGAGCTGGACTGATTTCTACATACTTGGCAAAGGAAACCAGGTCTTTTTTGCTTTCAGACAGAACCCAGAATCCCAAAGCAAGTACTTAAAGATGACTCATAAAGAATGCTGTTTGATGAAGGAAGGGATGAAAGAGGATGGTTTCCATCACAGGAATGGAATCCTGTGAATTCCACTGAGGAATGAATCCACCCTCGGTGAAATCCTACTCCTAGATTTAGAGCACTCTAGAAGTTAAGTGTCTCAAGATAGCCACTCCTGTACCCAGCTGGTGACCCTGGTCTCCCAGTTAATTCTGTTTATAGGAATCTGGAGAGCAACAAAATCTGCTTTATTACAACACTGGCTCTGGTTTGTCACAACTTAGGTTGAAAAAACTGAACAGAGAAAATTGAGAGAGGTGAGGGTGTTTTTGGAAGGGTCTACAATGTAGGGAATCTTTCAAAGATGGGCTAGAACTAGGAGGATTGTCCTTAGCTGGGCCGAGTTAGGGAGAAGAGCGATCTTGGCTCTACTTGGTGGATGGAGGAAAGGGAAGCAGGAAGAGATGCTGAGAAAGATACAGGGCCAAGGGTGTGGATGGGGGTGTCCAAGGTAAGAGCAGCACCCAGGGAGACTGAAGGACTTGCTGCTTCAAGGGCAAAACCCCGAAGCCAGTTACGTCGTTCTGAGCAGGACACAGGTGGAGGCAGAGGGGAGCCATTGGCCAGCAAGTAAACCAGCTACGCAGGCTGTTCCCAAAGAGCGGCACTTGAAGACAGGGCATGATTCTCTTGCCCAGAACTACCCCTCTGACTCCCCTTCTATGCTCCTGGCATTTGCTTTGATCTCCAGCACCACTCCTCCGCCCCCTCCTCACATGATAACATGCTTCTTTTCATGCAAATTAAATACCCCCCACAATCAATGTAACAATCACTGCTCCATCGCCCACAGAGTAAATAATAAAAATTATAATCTTGAATAGGTCAAAGGACCCAGCATTATGTGTCAACGGAAAGAAACAGCCAATGAGCTTCAGAACTGGTGTTGAGAGTGTATTACCCCTCCCCCACGCGGGGGCAGCGGAGCGCGTGGACAGACCAGTGTCACAGGAAGCTGGAGACTCCAGGCCCTGGGTGTCCTGTCCTTCTGCAACTTACGACACAAAAGGAGGGCACCCCTCAAGCTCGGGGCCCAGACAGGCCAGCCACCCATTCTGGCAGCTCCGATAGGCAGAGGCCACTGCCGTGGAGCCACGTGCCAAGGTGACTGCTCCATCCGGTTCCTCTAGGACAGGGCTCGGGTCTCTGAAACACTGGGCTGCAGCTCTCCATTTTAACAGGACGGAGCTCTCTTCCAAAGAAACCCGATAGCGTGGCTTCCCTGGTGGCTCAGGGGTAAAGAATCCGTCTGCCAATGCAGGAGACGCAGGTTCGATCCCTGACTCTGGAAGATCCCGCATGTCGCGGAGCAACTAAGCCCATGTGCTATAACTATTGTGCTCCAGAGCCCGGGAATAGCAACTATTGAATCCTGGTGCTGCACCTACTGAAGCCCGCACGCCTTAGCGACCATGCTCTGCACCAGGAGAAGCCAAGGCCCTGGGAAGCCCATGCGCTGCAACTGGAGAGCAGCCAGCCCCCACCTGCCACCACCAGAGAAAAGTCTGCGTAGCAACAAAGCACAGTCAAAAAATAAAAATAAATAAATGATGAAAAAAAGAAAAGCCATAGAATCTCATTCCAAAACAAGAAAAAAAAAAAAAAAAAAGATGTGTGACATGCATTTTTGTGCAATGGGCACCCCCTCCTTGTTTGAAATCTCTGGGGGCATTTTTACTTTATCTTTTGTATTTTAAACCTTTCATTTCGTATTGGGGTACAGCCGATGAACAAATGATGTTGTGATAGTTGCAGGTGAACAGTGAAGAGACTCAGCCGTACACACACAGCTATCCATGGTCTCTGGGTGCATTATTTTTTTAAAAGCAGCTTTTCCTCAGAGATACACCAAGTGAACCTCTAGCAGCAATGGGGTCCAGAATGTTCTCCAAGGGATGATCCGGTAGTGGGGATGGCTTCAAGTGTCAGAAAGCACCCTTTCTGCTGCAGAAATATCTCAGGGTAACAGCTCAGATGCAGCATCGGGGAGCACAGTCCTGGGTCTGCAGAGGGTGGTGCTCCCCTGAGAGCCCAGCAGGCTGGCTGGGATCTTACAGAAAGGCACTTGGAACGTGCTTCCTTGCTCTCTTGTCGATTCATCCCACCAGGCTGTGATTTTGTTTTTGTTTATCAGCCACCCCACACCCCCCAAAAAACACAACCGTTCTGGCTAAACAGACAAGAAACAGATGGTCCAGCACTAAAATCCGCCCAGCATCCCTGCGTTGAATGGTGAGGGCCTCCGGATCCCGGGTCGCTGTAGTGGGTGGGGGAGGGGGTGTAGGTTACTCAGCGGCGCGGTGCTGCCCCCTACTGTCTGCCAGGCTGTGTGCACGGGCGGGGAGCCTGGGAGGCAGCGATCGGAGAGGAGAGTGGCGCCCCCTTGTGCTGCCACCCTGAGCCCGCTGCTCTACAAGCTTAATCTCCCGTAATCCGTTCAGTGACCCCAGGGGGAGTCTCCTGGGCCCATTTCACAGCAGAAGGAGCGGTTCAGCATCTCCCTTCCCAACAACGGAGCCAGAAGGCAGCACAGCGGGCCCCGCAATCGCGTTTCTCTCATCCCCTCAGGCAGCTCAGGAGACAGCAGGGGCCGCCTGGGGGCCTTGGGGGCAGATCCCAGCCCCACCGTGTCCTAGCTCTGGGCGCCCTGGGAAAGGTCTGTTTCACTTCCTGGTGCCTCAGCTTTCCCATCTGTACAATGGGAATGATACCACGCCTATTCCGCAGGGAGGACTTAATGACCTTAGACAGAGTCTGGCACCTAGAAAGAGCCATGAAAGTGTTAAATGGAGGCCCCCCCCATGTCCCTTCCTCTATAACGAAGGCCACCACACCTGGGTTCCCGGTCCTCCCCTCTTCTCCCATGCCTCACTTCCTAAAGCCAGCAGCAGGCAAGAGGGGCTG